AGATTACAGACCCCAAAATGTAGTTTGTAACAGAATCCATTAAATTACTTAAAGTGAGTAATGTAATCTGATTACTTTGGATTACTTGATTTTCTGTAGAGTAATTGACGAGGAAATCTTCACATAAGAAGTTTTGTCTGATAAAAGAAAATAAAAAAGTCCAAACTTTACTGAACCAAATTAAAAATATTATTGATAGAAAATGAAGAAACACGTCCACACAGCAGGATTTAGTCCTGATAAATCCTGTTTTAGTCCCGTTTTAGTCCTGGTTTAGACCTGGTTTTAGTCCTATTTCAGTCCGGTTTAAGCCCAAAATGTAAAAACAGTTAAATCCCTCTGTGTAATCCATTTATTTCAACAAAGTAACTGTAATCCAATTACCACTCACTGAAACAGTAACTGTAACTGAATACAGTTACTCTTCATTTGTACTCTGATTACTCTGGTACATGTAATCTGTTACTCCCCGACACTGTTTGTCACGTTACACTTTTATTTTAACCCGATGACGCCGTAAAGACTCGACTCACTGACCTGAGCTCCTCACAGCCAAATGAAAACGTCTTTACGGCGCTTTACACTTTCATCTAAAAACTGTTTTTGATCAAATGTGTGCGCTGAACATTCGGCCATAGACATCCACGCAGAACCCCCCCCAGCGTGACGTCGTCTGAACCCCAGCGGGGACACACACACACACACACACACACACACACACACACACACAGACACACACACACACAGACACACACACACACACACACACAGACACACACACACACACAGACACACACACACACACACACACACACACAGACACACACACACACACACACACACAGACACACACACACAGACACACACACACAACACACACACACAGACACACACACACAGACACACACACACACACACAGACACACACACACAGACACACACACACAGACACACACACACACACACAGACACACACACACACAGACACACACACACACACAGACGTCGACATTTTTCCGTGACCCAAAAATTGAAACTAAATTGACTGGAGTTGATTTATTTGCATCAGAATCTCGTCGAATCGAATCGTTTTCTCTAAAAACGGCGAATCTTTCGTGCGTCGTGTAAAAACGTGCAGTTTGAAAGGAGCCGGCGCCGGTTTAGAGTCGGGCGTTTGTTTGTTTTCCTTTTACAGAGCTGAAATACAAAAGGGCGAGTTTCTATTGGCTATAAAAGTATTGCATCAAATCCAAACATGAAAAACACTGAGATGAACACAGGAAGAAGCTTTGTACAGGAAATACAAAACATTCACCAAAATAAAACAGGAAACCAATGTACAGTGAAAATAAAACACAAATTGTACTTTTAAAAAAAACACAAGAAAATTCCCCCCAAAAACCGAGTTTGTCTCTGATGTCGAGACCAAACTCAAAAATTATAAAAAATAAACTCAATCTGACTTTTTTCAGTTTTGGAGCCACTTCACAAACGGCGCCCCCTGTGGGTCAGGAGGAACATGGAAAACTCAGAACGTTCTGCTTTATTATCACATTTGTTTTAAGTCTCTGTTCAGTCTGCAGGTTTAAAGCTCAGTTTGGATTTTTTATTTATTTTTATTTTTTTTTGCGAGCTCGTTCACATTTCCAGGTAAACGTGACTCGTGTGCGACTCCAGTGTGACTCCAGTGTGAACTTTAACCGTCCTGAAAGTGTCTCGCATGAACATCGGACACGACCACAGATTGTTTGTTTTGAGGAGGAGACTGAGAAGAAGTAGGACAAGGTTTTTTATCAAGTCTGGCGCCCCCTAGTGTCTCCGCTCAGTTTCATTTTTAGACGATTCCGCAAAAAAAAAAAAAAAACCCAGAAGTGCGAGTTCGGGCTCCAGCCAATCAGAGAAGAGACAAACGTTCTGTCTCGATATCGAGGATTTAAAGTCTGAACAAAGAGAATGTTTGGTGAGTTTGATCTCGGGGAAATTCGTTCTTGTTCTTCTTCCTACAGGATTTGGAGCTTTACAAACGTCACGACCAAACAGCAGCGACTGGTTCGATAATAAAAAACATCCCCACCTCCCGTCTAATCCTGACGCCGCGAGGATGAATCGGAGGTTTTTGGTTGTGGCCTGAAAATTCTCTCGCGTCGTCGTCTCCGCGGTTGTGTCGTCTTCTAATGTCTCCAAAACTATAACGGCACAAAAAAAATTGTAAAATGTTCAGGTCACACGTTCACGGACGCTTCGTTTGTTCGAGTCTTTATCCTCCTGGTTTTGGCGTCGCAGGATCTTTACTTTTCGTTGGAGTCAGGTCGATGTGTAGCCGCGCTCGAACATTTCTTTGGTGATTATTTCAAAAATCGCCCGGTTCTGATAAAACTCCTCCGATTTGTCCTGAACACATCGATCCAAACAAATATGAATGAACTCACTATCCTCGATTTCTGAAAATTCTCTCGCGTCGTCGTCTCTGTGGTTGTGTCGTTCTTCCAGTTTCCGCCGA